AAAAAAAAACATGAAATACAACTATATCTTTTACTAAACTTTTTTATTTTTAGAGGCTAACCAAATGCTCCTTTAGCATCTTCATTCCCGATTTTGTAGTTTTAGTATTGAGTTTTCAAAAATTTTAATTTAGCTTCAAAATGTCATGAGATAGTTCAATTTTGTACATGAATCTATTTTTTCCCCATAAAATACAATAATATTAGCTAACTAAGCAATTTTTTTTTGGATATTATTAACATTCAAATTTCGGTCGAGATTTGACGAATTTTCGGCCGAAATCTTAATTAATCAACAACCTTTCAATTAATGCATACACCTAAACATTTAACGTTCAGAGAAAAATACCTACGAAATTTTAATTCTCCACCAGTTCTTTTTGTACTTTGCTTTCAGATAACACAACAAAAGGAACATTGTACTCTCAACACTTAGGGTTGTTGTAATATCAAGGTCAATCCTCTGTCCATCTCAGCACTTAGGGTTGTTTCTTTTACATGCACACGGACAAGGTAGGAGCTATTTGTTTTACAAATGGTGTTCTGTTTATGTTAATGCATAGAGTGAACCTTTTGGTTTATACATATATATATTTTTTTTGTTAAAAAAAAAGCAAGATAGAGTTCATGTTGACTGTGAAATCTGGAATTTTATATTAACATCGCCCGAAATTTGAAGTTTTTCGCCCGAAATATTGAAGTCGTAAGAACATCACCCAAAATGTCAATGATTCTCGCCCGAAATCATGAAGTTGGAAGAATCTCGCCCGAAATTTTACTGAATCTCACCCGAAAATTGTCATATAGTCTAAATTTTTATTTCTTATAATGCTCGTATTTTATTTTAGTTTATAATTTTATATATGTTTGCAGGATGCCTCGTCTGTTTGTTAGTTACGGTGGTCAGTGGAATGAGGCACAATCTGTTTATGACGGTGGAATTATGGGAGGGTTGGATGTAGATGATAGTATAACATATGATGAGCTCATAAGTGCGATGTACAAGCTCACCAATGTAGATATTGATAAGTTCAATATTGTGATACAGTGTTTATATAAATTTCATTGCCAAGTACCAAATTATTACATTTTTTATGATTACAGCCTTAGTTTTTTCTTGAGAGGCCCTCCACATCCCTCCGAAGTACTATTGTATGTATCCGTGATACCGAAGCAGAGACACGGCAGTGGCAGCAGTTCAAAAAATCCCATCAGTTCAGCATGTCAAGCATTCCATTCATTTCCTTACCAGCTAAGGCAAGATATCCCAATTCCTATTCCTATTCATTCAACGCTACCTGGTGTTGGTCTCTCATGTTCTGTCCCATCGATAACACCGTTGACTGATAATGTGGTCCCATACAACTTAGGTGATGATGAACTAAACTACCATAGTCAATGGGATGCCGATGATGATAATGATGGGTATAATGATGAGGCTGAAGATAACGATGGGGATAATGAGGAAGGTGACGAATTTGAGGCTGATGATGCTGAGTTTGAGAACGACGTTGGGATTGACAATGAAGTTGAGGTAGAGCCAGTGGATGTATATGCCACATCTTCTGCACCCTTTCATGAAGTGAACAGAGTAAGTATGAATGCAACTTGTGCCACTAATCAAGCTTCTTGCTCTAGAGATATATCCAGGACAGTTGATGAACTTGGTTTGACCTCAGAAGAGATTGTAGTAGGGAGTACTTTTAAATCAAAGGTAGAATTGCAGTTCAATCTATCGATCTTCGCAATGAAACTGAACTTTGAATACCGAGTGAAGAAATCTACGAAGAGTTTGCTAACTGTTGGATGTTGCGGGGATGGATGTAAATGGGGCATGCGTGCGAGGAGGATTTAAGGTTCTGATACCTTCCTCATCTCCAAGTTTTTTGGTGTGCATAATTGCAAAGGCGAGGTAATGAAACATGATCACAGACAAGTCCGAAGTCGTGTGGTTGGTCAAATCATAAAAACCAACTTCGAGGATCCAAATTGTCGTTATAGGCCGAAGGATATTGTTAACGACATGCGCAAAAATTATGACATTAACATCCAGTATGAAAAGGCGTGGCGTGCAAAAGAAGTAGCCTTGGACCTTTTGATGGGTTCCCCCAAGAAGTCTTATACTCTGCTGCGTAAATATGGCGAGGCGTTAAAATTTGTGAACCCAGGTACGATATTTAATTTGAAGCTTGAGGATGATAAATATTTTCAATATGCATTCATGGCCCTTGGATGCTCTATAAGGGGGTTTAGAAGCTGCATTCGATCAGTTCTTGTCATTGACGGTGCTCATCTGAAAGGAAAATATAAAGGTGTAATACTTATTGCCTCTTCTGTTGATGGTAATAATCAGATTTATCCAGTAGCGTTTGGAATCGTTGATAAGGAATCAGACAACTCTTGGACTTGGTTCTTGGATCAAGTGAAGAGTGCGATTGGAGAGGTAGATGGATTGGTTTTCGTGTCCGACCGGCATCAAGCCATTAATAACTCTGTAGCTAATGTATTCCCTAATGCTGAACATGTTAGTTGCATGCATCACATCAAGATGAACCTTAATGATAAGTTCAAGAACGAGGGCATGCAGATGTTGTATCTTCAAGCTGCGCAAGCATTCAAGAAATCAACATTTCGGTATTACTGGAACCAACTTGCTGGATTCCCAGAAGTGCAAAGGTACTTACAGGAAGTCGGGTTCGACAAATGGTCACGAGCCTATCAACCTGAATTGAGGTACAACCAAATGACAACTAACATTGCAGAGTCCATGAATGCAGTACTTGTGCATGCACGAGCTTTGCCAGTCACTGCACTGTTAGAAAATTGTCGTGTGCTTCTACAACGATGGTTTTATGAACGGCGGACACATGCAGCCACAATAACATCTTGTCTTACTGAATATGCTGAGGACATTCTAAGACAATCTTCTGAACAAGCCCGACGACACACCATTCGACCTATCGACAATTACGAGTTTGAGGTACACGATGGTAGTAATAAGGTGCGTGTCAATCTGAACAGTAAGACTTGTTCGTGTAAACAGTTCGACTACTACCAGATTCCATGCTCTCATGCTATTGCTGCAGCGGTGCTTCAAAACGTGAACCGTTATACATTGTGTTCATCCAAGTATAAATTGGAGACACTAATTACTGCATATGCTGAACCAATCTATCCACTGGGCAACGAGGAGGCTTGAGTTTTACCGGATAACTTTATCGAACACACCATCGAGCCTCCGAAGTTCGTTCCGAGAGTTGGAGGACGGCAAACTATAAGGATACCGTCAACCGGAGAGCCGCAACAAGTTCATAAGTGCAGCAGGTGTGGGATCCAAGGTCACAATCGAAAGACTTGCTGTCAACCGTTACGAACGAAGGAGATTTAATTGCATGTATTTTGTTTCATTTTGTGTTGTAGTATCTTATGTTAGATAGCAGAATGTTAGATATTAGATATCGGGCGATATTTCGGGATTAATTTGGGCCAAATTGTCACAATTTTGGGGGAGGATAATTCCAGCGATGCAATACTGTACGCTGGAAAATTTCTCGGGCGAAAATCTCAAGAATTCGGGTGAGAAATTATCCAGCGTACAAAATGTATTGCACTGAATTCGGGCGAAAGATGACAGTATCCGGGTCAAATTTCACTCGAAATGGTCTTTAATTCGCCTGAGAAATATTACAGCAATTTAGTAATGCATTCTTGAAAATTACTCGGTCGAAAATTCCACGACTTCGGTTGTAAAAAAGCTTATAATCAATTGTAACACTAATTATAGTCGCGATGTATTCGAAGACATCAAAATTACAAATTATCCATCAACTATGAAGACATAAATAAACAAGTTTGCACGATGTATTCAAATCAGAAAATTGACATGTTCGCCCATAGTTCAATCGCAAATTTTTCCCTAAAAAAACTAATTTTGTCT